ATGAGAGCAACTTTTGCATCTCATTTGGAAACCAAGGACCCAGAGTCTGGAGGAAGAATGGAGAGGCACACACTGCAAGATGCTTGAAGTCCAGTGTGAAGTTTCCACAGTCTGTATTGATTTGGGGAGCCATGTCATCTGCTGGTGTTGGTCCACTGTGCTTCATTAAGTCCAGCCCTCTACCAGGAGATTTGGAGCACTTCATGCTTTCTTCCGCAGATGAGCTTTATGGGGATGCTTACTTCATTTTCCAGCAGGACTTGGCACCTGCCCACACTGACAAAAGCACCAAAACCTGGTTCAATGATCATGGGATTACTGTGCTTGATTGGCCAGCAAACTCGCCTGACCTGAACCCCATAAAGAATCTATGGGGCATTGCCAAGAGAAAGATGAGAGACATGAGACCGAACAATGCAGAAGAGCTGAAGGCTGCTATTGATGCATCCTGGTCTTCCATAACACCTCAGCAGTGCCACAGGCTGATAGCTTCCAGCCACGCCTCATTGAGGCAGTAATTCCTGCAAAAGGGGCCCAAACCAAGTACTGAATACATATGCATGCTTATACTTTCCAGAGGTCCGATATTGTTCTATGTACAATCCTTGTTTTATTGATTGCATGTAATATTCTAATTTTCTGAGATTGTGGATTTGGGGTTTTCATGAGCTGTAAGCCATAATCATCACAATTATGACAAATCACAGCTTGAACTATCTTGCTTTGCATGTAATGAGCCTATCTCATATATTAGTTTCACCTTTTAAGTTGCATTACTGAAATAAATGAACTTTTGCATGATATTCTAATTTTTTTGAGTTTCACCTGTAATTTCAGGTCAGAATGCTAAAAAACACTTTACTGCACTTTAAAGATACTTGGGGAACACCATAAATAGAAAGTCTTATAGGAATTCAAAGTGTGCCCATTCTGAAAGCAACCAGTTAATATGACTTCTTTATGTTTGATTGCTTACCTTTATTGTAGATTTAGCTGCAGTTTTTAAAAAAATACTAGATGGCATTATCCTCTGGGGGTGTAATAGTTTTCCTCTTCTCTCTTGTAATTAAGATTTATATGCCATTTCCCCACCAAATTCCTGCCTGCCCAAATAAACTTGATGATCACATTCATGTCTCACTTGTACCCTTGCAATTCATGGTAGTAATAAAGTTCTCATTTTATCCTCACAGCTTTGTGAAGTCTGCTGGACACTCAATGAACCCCGAAGGCATTGTTCATCACCTTAACTACTGTCTTTCTCTCATCCAGTGTGCAAAGAGTTAGATTTATGTGTAAGGTATCTTACACAGAAGCACTTCTGTTTCTTTTTTTTAACCCAACTCAATCAGCCAAATCTACAAGGTAAAAGAGATTGCTCTTTACTGTCATGGCAAAAAACAACTATCTTGTGGCACCTCATGGACTAATTATTACTTACATTTGTGTGTCTCACAATCCATCATATTAGGGCTTCCATCCTAAAACTTACCAACTTAACAAATGAGTGCTCCCGTAGCAAAAGAATCTCTAATTTTAATTTTGAGCTGGGTCATATAGTTTTTTGAGAACTGATAGAGGCAATGAGGGAGACCATTGTATTTTGAAGTATATAATGGCATCTTTTGATTTCTCCTTCACGTTAAGAAGATTCTAGATTCAGAGTATGATGATGTTTACCTTGCTTTTTCACTCTTTCTTGATAAATAGAGGAAAGGGATGAATCTTCACAAAGCTGTAGAAAAAGATCAAGATTTAAGTTGCTACTGGCCATCTGTACAGGATCTTGTTTATCTAGCCAAGGTCAGGTTCTGCAATCTCAGTACCACAGGAAAAAAAGAGATAATGTGGTTTTGGTAGCAAGTTTTGATAAGACCCTAGTATTGCCCTTTATTTTGGGATCTTCTACATAGTGCTGAGTGTTATGTAACTTCACTGTTTGAGGTCTCTCCACTATTGTTCCACTGGGAGTCCCAACAGCTGAACAGAGATTTGTTTTTGTCTTGCTTTTGTTTCTGTTAAATCTGTCTGCTAAAGTTAATAATAAAACTTAAAATCTCTTCATTTACTGCTGTGTTTATTGTCTCTAGATCCTCAAATAACCAATTGCCTTACATTAGACCATTGCCTGTCACTTGGCAATACGGAATTTAGCCCCAGTCTAAGAGACTCTAGTGACTAAAACCCGCCCTCTATTTTGGGCCTGGAAACAAACAGGAAGATAAAACAGAAGGCAATGGACCAACATTTAAGGCAAAACTAATGATATTAAAATGAACATTGTTCTTTATTTATGGAAATATCCTATGTTAATACCAAATATTTCCTTTGGATAGGTAAATTATTGAGGAAATTTATTTGGGATTAGGGATCACCAAAGTTTTCTTTGGCTAAATTGAGATTATTATTTGAGGAAGTTGTCTTTAACATATCCAATTTGCAAAAAATATCATTAGGCCAATATTTTATCAGCCATCTGCTGGTGGAGTGAAAATATAGTTGAGTATCATCCATTCTGGGCTAAATTGGAAAGTTATCTATTTCCCTTAAAAACATGAAGAGTGCTTTGGAACAATGTATAGCAGAAAAGGTGTTTTAATTTGTGGGAGTAGGAGCAATGAGAAATCATTGGGCTATAATGGGATATAATTGAGTTTTGATAATGAGAATCATGAATGTCCATTTTTTTTGGATAAAATCTACTTTGAAATTGTTGATAAATTGGAAGGTTTAGGAAGAATCTGGGATAATGACTTTTAACTCAACAACTATGAAATAGCTATTTTAGGAGTTTTTATTGACTTCAAACGGAATTTCTCTTCCCAAAGGAAGCATTTCTAGCTTAAGTATAAACTTTACTAAATCAATCAAACAAACTTTTTGGCTACCTCAAAGGCATCCGAGTTACTTTATTTCACGGCTGAATGGGGAAGTTAGCAGAACATTGCAAAAAGTGACCACAGGATGCTTTGATTGCAGGGTATTTACCTAAATAATGGGTGTAAAACTGGATTTCCTCGAGGGCTGGGTCAGCATTATAGTTCTCTGTGGGCCAGGTGGGTAGGAAGATGGGACGGACGCCTCCTGCACCATCCTGCTGGCCAAAACAGCACCCCCCCATGCCCCATTTTTGTACTGGTCTCCTGCAGCACCCTGCTGGTCAAAAGGGGTGCGGAGGGGGGATTGCACAGCCTATCCGCACCCCATTTTGGCTGGCAGAGTGCTGCAGGAGGCCATCGAGGCAAAAATGGGGCGCAGGAGGCTGCATGCAGCGCCCCCACCCTGCTTTGGCCGCCAGAAGCACCGCAGGCAGATCCTTTTCTTATTTCCAGGCAGCCCTACAAGTCAGATTTAAGCACCACACAGGCTAGATCTGGCCCGCGGCCCATGAGTTTGACATCCCTGACCTAAATGATGGGTGTTGGAAGAAATATCCATCTGGTTCAATTCCAAGTCGGGAGAAAGAAACTGGAGATGGATGAAAATGGAGACTGATTTGAAAGATGGTTCATTGATGAAGCAGAACCACTTGTGATTCTGGGCAGCTGACAAAATGGAGCTGAGAATAGGAGGGTTTTTATACCTTCTTTGAGCTTTGTATTTGAGCTTCCTTTTCCTGTGCAAGAACATGTCCTTTAATATTCTATTGGCTGTTGTAAGATTCCTATAGGGTCATGTAGGGGTCACAGCTGGCTCTATAGGCAAAAGAGGAAATGCAAATCTTAGGTAATCCGAGCTAATCTGGTCAACCTCTGCCTTATTGTTTTATCAGTTCCTAGGTTTCTATTTCTTTGAAGTTTAGACTGCTCTGGGGGTGGTGCAATGAAGGGGCTTATGTTCTGACAGGGTGTTGGGCAATTCCTATTGTGCCTAATAGCTTTTGTCCTGTGTTGGATCTTGGGTGAGGGACTGCTTCTAATCCTACCATTCTGCCTTTGTTTCTAAATATCCTGTCTTGAATGGATTACCAAATTTGCATTTCTAGAAGCTGGCCTCCTCAGTTTCTGCTTGGGTCAGGGCAACTGGGGCTGGTTTAAGAGCATGTTTTTCCAATTCTCCATTTGGAGAAATATAGTATCTTGCCTTCTTAATATTCCTCAAAATATTTCGTTCTTCTAGGAGGGAGGCTTTCCACAATAGTAATGGACTGCTGAAATTGCAAGTCAGCATATTCACATGACATCACTTATGGTCACGTTGCTTAGCAACAGACTTCCCCTTCCAATTACTGTTGTTAAGTGAGGACTACCAGTATTCCATATATCAGCCAACGTTTGTTAGAAATGTGTGATTTATCTGTATGGCAAATGCAGTATTTTCTACCGATCAAAGGATGCAGCAATATGTGCTACTATGGCAAAGTTTGCGATATATATGTATTCACATTATAGCAGCAAATTCATTAGTGATAAATGTCGGTATAAGTATCTATATAAGGTATTTTTTTCCTTCGTTTGCATTTTAATCTGTGCTATAGTTTTGTTTAAAAAAGCAATTATTTCTCTTTTAAGATTACATTGTTCAATTAAATAAACAGATTTTTATTTTTATTTTAAAGGGAAGCCCTGTGCAAAAAAACCCCTTGGACAAATTGCGTCCGTCCTTAGCTGTTGCTCCAAAACCACTTTAGTAAATAGTCCTGGCCACTAAGGCTGCCCAAGCTTAGTCCAAAAGGAGCCCCTGCTTCCCCCAACCCCCCCAATAATTTATTCAGGGTAGAGGAAATAGGAACCATTTGCGATTGAACGAGATCCCGGAGTGAGACCTGCCTCGGCGTTTGCACGCCAGGAGGCCCGATTGAGCAAGAGTCACTGGCGCGCACAACGGGGCGGGCTGGACCTGCGGGGCTGAAAGGACCCCCGAGGAGCAGCTCTGTAGGAAGAGGCACCCCGACACCCTCCCCCGCTCCCGGCGGCCCCCTTCTTCGCGCAGGTCCACGCGCCCCACTTTCAATCCCCGTGACCTTTCCCCTCCGCCAGTCTCCGCCCCAGAGGGAAGCGCGTCCCTCCCGTTCCGCCGGCTGCTTTCGCCTGGGTAGAGAGAGCAAGAGAGAGAGAGAGAGAGCGTGGCCGCGCGGGAGGCGTTCCTCTTCTCCTGCCGCTTCTGGAGCCTGTGCGGCGCCCCTGTTTGGTCGGCAGCAAGGTGAAGGCGCGAGCGCGCGCGCGCGGGGCGGTGGGGGGGGGGGGGGGGGGGGGGGGGGGGGGGTGCGGCTGGAGGAGGCCCGGGTCTGGCAGCTCCTCCCCAGCTCCCAGTCAAACCTCAGCGGCTAGCTTGCCTCCTTCCACTCTGCTGTTTTGTGCGGGGGGTGGGGGGCAGGAGGAGGAGGAGGAGGAAAGGAGGCGAAGGGTTCTGGTGGCGGGGAGAGGAGAGGAGGGCAGCTGCCATGCGGGGAGGTGGAAACGGGCGCCCCGGCAGAGAGGCCTGCCGGCCTGCTTTCTGTCAGGGGAGGCGGGGACCGAGGTTGCGGCTCTGCAAGCTCGCTCGCTCGCTCGCCCGCTCCCTTTTCGGTGCAGTTGGAGCCCGAGCGGGACTCTCCAAAGAGGTTGAATTTTCGTGCCGAGGCAACGCGGGTCGGTGGGGCGCACCGAACCGCCGGTCGATGCCACAGTGTGCGACCCGGGGGTGTTGTTGTGGGTGCCCGGATGAATGAAGCCGCCCTATCCTGGTTTGGGAAGCTGCTGTTTGGAAGGAATGCTGAGGACCTCCTGGCTTGCTGGCTTTGATGAGTCTGAAAGATGGTCGTTACAAGAGAAATAAATGCCTGCCGGATTAGGAAGGTGCTTAAGGCGGGAGATGGCATGCAGTAAGCCACATAGACCCCCCCCCCCCTTGCTTGAAACGCGATGTATTAGGGATGCAAGCTGGTGCTTCCTGTATTTTGGAGGGGGGGTATTCCTCCCCTTCAATTGGGAGGCCAGAGTTTTGAGTGCTGCTCTGTGGAGTCCTCCCGCCTGCTCGTTTGACTAGCTGGGAAGTCCTCACAGCTGCCACTCAGCACTGAAAACGTCAGGAGGAATTGTCGGTGCTGAATTTCAATCCCTTCTTGGCCTCTGAGATGGTTATTTTTAGCTCAGCGTATCCAGGAGCTTTGCAGAATCAGATTCAGCTACCGGAACTGTGGCACAAGAAGGGTGCCATGTACAATTGTATGCCTGGTTGTTGTCTAGCTGCTGCCTCTATTCCTGTCTCTTGGGCATCCCCAAAGCCTTGCTAAGTTGGGCTATTGTGGCTCCCAAGAAGCCACAATATTTGACGTACAGTAATCAATCAAATGCACATTTGCATTACTCTTTATTTGTTAGAGTGGGTGTTGCTTTTGGAACCCTAGGATGTAAGAAAAGCAGCTTGGGATGTTAGGCTTTCATGTGGTCTTTATTTCTAATTTCAGATGCCCCCCAAAAAGGGAAGTGATGGAATTAAACCGCACCCAATCATTGGAAGATTTGGGACATCCTTGAAAATTGGCATTGTTGGTTTGCCAAACGTTGGGTAAGTGTTTAAAAGTCACTAAACTTTGTTTAGTCATCCCAAAACTTATAGGCTGTCTTGGCTGAATCAAGTTAGAGGTGTGCTGCAAAAAAAATACACTCTGGAAAATTGTTGGTCTTAGGGTTTTCTAAACTGGCAGTTGTAATTATATTTTAGAGAATGCATGTTAGTTTTGAATTTAAAAATGTCAAATGTCCTGAAGTTTCTGTCTAAAAATAGCAGATTATTAAACTAACTTTTTATGTGCTAAATTAAAAATAGCTTTCATTTGGCATTTTCTTCTGAAAGTTCAGTTGTAAAGATGCTTCACTATTAAAAATAAAAGGAATTGTTATATTTCATTGAAAACAAGGGTATGCTTTATTTAGTTTTATTAGCTGGATAATTTTAAAGATGTGAAACCCTAAGGGAAATGTAAAGTTTTATTAACAAAAGTAATGAACTGGAAAGTCGATTATGTAGATCTAACTTATCTTGCATTGATTTGCACACGACACTAAGTTTTGAAAGAAAAAAATAAAGAATTCTATAATTCTAGGTTTTTTTGTTTACAAAATACTTAATTACCTTTATCAAAAGGTACATGAGGAAAACAAGAGTTTATATCTTCTCTCACATACAATTTATATTTTCAGCTGTCACAACTTGAGAATCAAAAACAAACACAGATAATATATTTCTTATTATAATAATGTCCTGTAAAAAAAAAAAACAATGTGGAAAAAGGCAACGGTAATACCAATAGTAATAGGTGCCTTGGGAGCAATCCCAAAATAACTGGAGCACCACTTGAACACTACTGCATTGACATATTTCCCATCAGTCAATTGCAAAAGGCAGCTTTACTTGGAACAGCTTATATCCTGTAATGATATATGTACCATCAAACATCTCTATCTATCTATCCCAGGTACTTTGGAAGGACTCGATAGGTGGACAACATTTACCACTCTTTTCAGTGTCCCATAGTCACATGACCACATTTTACAATGGTTTTGTGAAAAATTGGCATTAACATTCGGCTTTTGGTAAAATTGCACCCATATCGCATCACTGGATTACATCAAAGTTGTGTAATTGGGTTGGTCATGTGATGACTGTTGTGACATGCAACAGTTATGTGCAGGTTTCATTACAGTTGTGTTAGTTAAAATAGTAGCATAGAAACCAGGAGAGAGTGAGTTCTAATCCCACTGTGAAAGCCAGCTGAGTGACTGTGCCAATCTCTCTTAGCCCAACTCACCTCACAAGGTTGCTTTTGAAGGGAAATTAGAGGAATGAAGAAGTATTACATAGGTGTATCACCTTGAGTTAGCTATAAGGTAATAAAGGTAGGATAAAAATATAATAAAAAAGTTTAAGAAGTAAGTGCAATGCATTCAGACTTGAAAGATTCTGATTTTATATTTTTTTATAAAAGTACTTTTAGCCTTTCTGTTGAGTTTTATTTTCTGGCCTGGTCTATTTAGTAGGCTGATGAACTGGGAGAATGTGACTTCTAGTTCTCTCTTTAGCACGGAAGACAGCTGGGCCACTGGGCATAAACTGTGATGGTGCAGTGGTTAGAATGCAGTATTGCAGGTTAATTCTGCTGACTGCAGCAGTTTGATTCTCACCAGTTCAAGGTTGCCTCAGCCTTCCAATCTTCCGAGGCTTGTAAAATGAGGACCCAGATTGTTGGGGGCAATATGCTGATTCCATAAACTGCTTAGAAGGGGCTATGAAGCATTGTGAAGCGGTATATAAATCTAAGTGCTATAAACAAAGCCAACTTCCCTCAGACTAAGGAAGCATTATGTACGCTACTTTAAGTTGTGCTATATAAAGAAAAAAGAAATATTACATTTTAGAATTCTTAGTTTATTCTTTCGCAAAGTTGAAAGTTATAATTTATTTTGTTTCTGATTGTTTTGTCAGATCCAAAGGTGGATAGTAACACATTGCCCGTACTTTGTTAAGCTGTATTTAATAGTAGAAAGAACAAATACAGGAATAGTTGAATTGGGTATATTGGAATACTGCTTCATTCTCAGAAACTCTGCCTTGCCATGATTTATTTATTTATTGCTTATATCTATATCCCATTTTTTTTTGTCAGAGTGTAGTGTACTACATATGGGGAATATTGAATTGAATGACAGGGAATGACTGAAAATAACTATGAATTGTTATCCAGTACAAATTTAGGCCTCAGTTTTCCTATCCTGGCTCAGTGCTTTAACCACTACACTCTGAACTTTCAGCATAGCTGTCTAATTATTGTTATAATTTATTCCTAAAATAATTGCTTTAGTCTCAGTACTGGTTTTCTGAAAAAAAAAAAATCTGGCCAGTATTACTGATAATCAGGTGCTGCAAAAAAAAGTGGGAATGTGAGATCATTTCTAGGCTCATTTATAGCATTTTGAATGACATTTGATGGGTCAGTGTAGAAAAGAATTCTACAGCAAATTTGCTGTGGCTGTTCCAATGTGATGAATAAAATCTGAGCAGTTTGTACATAGCTGTTTGAAGATTGGATTTAATCATAAATACTCCTTCTACCAAATGTGAAATTCAAAGCATGCATTCAAATATGTATCTTAAAATGAGATTTATGCTAATTTTTAGAGAGCTGCTAAGAGATCTGTCAGAAACTAGAAATGTATTACAGCAGTTCAAGCAAATTAGAAAAGGTTTTTTGTAGAAATATGGAAATCCTTTTTTTAAAGTTCTCATCATTTCTGTGCAAAAGAAATGCAAAAACTTGACACTTTTCATGAGATGTTTGTGGTGCTTAGTACTCAATAGTAATTAGTGCTGTGTAATATTTTGGATTTGAAGACATAAAAGTGCTTTGGATCACACGAAAACATAAACATTATCCAGGTCCTCTACTTCTTAAGGCAGCCATGTCACTTCCTGGGGATCATACAATTGGTTTACGGAGTCAGGACAGGTGCTACTGTATGTTTGAGACTCAGCACCCTTCAAATCCCTTTTTGACTGATCTTGAATTACTTCACAACCATAATAGTGGTATATCCTTTATATTTCATTTAATGAGTGTAAAATATGGCAATATATCTTTTTTAAAGGAAATCTACATTTTTCAATGTATTAACCAAGAGCCAAGCTGCAGCAGAAAACTTCCCCTTCTGCACAATTGATCCAAATGAGAGCCGAGTGCCTGTGCCAGATGATCGATATGAATTTCTTTGCCAGTACCATAAGCCTCCAAGGTAAATATGTGAAATGTCATCAGTTGTTTGTTTCTGGTTAAAAACCAACATTTCTCAGTATCACTGTGTGAGAAGTACATAAAAATGAATCAACAGACTTTTGATAATCTGATCCATAGGATGCTTTATTAGGGAAAATACTGCAGTATGGACCCCTTCACTCCAAAACCATGTTTAGGAGAAAAGGAGACACTTCCATTTAGTGAATACAGCTTATATAGGTTTATCAAATCACATGGTTACATAACACTTCCTGTTTCCCATATATGGAAATTATATAATGTTTTCATAAGAAAATGACAACTCCATGGACAACTCCCAACATTCTCATTATAGTCAGATTTCCTGTTATTCAAATTCCAGAAGATTATAAGAAAACATTAATATCTCTTAATGTGACGTCTAATGTCAGAGCGCCCCAGCACATACAAGTACATAGTTTTGCAATCTTGTATAATTTCTAGCAGAAAACACATTACATAAATGTTCTGAGCTTTAAAAGTTTAGACTGCAAACACAAAATGGCTTCAGTTTGGCTCTTTACATTCTCAGGTGTAATAACCAAATTTTCACTTGTAACACACTATTTAATAGGCTTAAATTTTGCAACTTTATTTCAGGAACATTTATCATAAGTAATACATTTGAGAAGCTTTTATATCTATACATAGATATAAATGTGTGTGTATGAGTAAACGACTCACTGACACAGTTAATGAAAAATGTTCTGTTAATGAGATGTTAGGCAAGTTTTGAAATTATTTTTATCTTTACTAGACCCTGAGGATTTCTTTTATGCTTCAATGGAAAAGTCCAAATTTTTCTATGTGTTATTATTCTTTATTGAAACTATAAACAAATAATTGCATTTTTAAAGTACTTACTTGTGTAAAGGGTTTGTTTATAATTCATGTTGGTTTAAAACACAAGGACTGTTAACAAGGAACTGAGAGCAGGAGAACCAAACTTGAATAGATTCAACTACTGTAAAGCCACCTAAACATCTCTCCTATTTCTTCTTCACCCTATTCTACTTTTCATTCATTCATTCATTCATTCATTCATATAAACACACAAATACATTCATATACACACATACATATATACATTCACACATACACGCACGCCCACCCACGTATATATAAAAATTTATATGCCCCCTAACTCATCCAGAGATGACTCCGGATGGCTTACAAACATTGCATCATTGTAATTGGTGTGCATGAGATTCTATGTAATATCGCAAATTTTATCTTGAGTTTCTGTCTCCCCTATAAATTATAACAATCTTATAGTCATAGTTATGGGAAATATATGCTATAACCTAAAAGTTAATTTTTATAAAATGAATGTATAATGATATTTGAACAACATGAAGGGTAATTTTATCATGCCTGGTAAACTTATAAAAAAGCCAGAAATTTCTGTATTCTGTATACACATAATGATACAAGAATTTTAAAGATCAGCATTCATCTGGAATCAGAACTTTTCTTTCTGGCGTTAATGAATAGCCAGTTAGAAAAGAGCTATGGAGTATTATTTTTTAGATATGATTATTGCTGCAAGACTATTATACGCACAAACGTGGAAAGGCTCTGAAATACCTACATTAGAGAAATGGTTGGTAAAGTTGTCAGAACTAGAAGAGACTGAAAAAATTAACATGTTTGATCAATAGCTACATAAATCAGTGACTGAAAACCTCTTGTGGACTTTTTGCTGAAAAAAAGAGCAAAATTAACTTGCGATTTATAGGTTTGAGGTTTAGAAAGCATAGTTTATGGAAAGAGGAATTATGATGTAACCTTAGAGAAGGTAAAATAAAAATTCATGTATAACTGCTATCAAAAAGATAGAAAGCTGCTTCTTTCTAATCTTTTCTATTTTCTTTCTTACTTATTCACTATTCTTTCTTATTGTTGTCTATTTTCTAATACTTGTCTATTTTGGATTTGTTAAAAAATTCTTCAATAAAAATTATATTAAAAATAGTTGTGGGAAAGACACAATGCTTATCTTATAGGTTATATGAGGGTGAAGGTTTGTTTTCCAGGCTTATGGGTTGGTTTCTGAATGTTGCATTACCAGGCTGGGTAACATCTGCAGCAGAGTTTAGGAGATGTCAGTGTTCTTCTGTTTATAAGGGCTTCAGGTGTGATTCCTCGTTGAGTCTTGTTATGGGTCTTGTGATAAGGAGGTTACATCAACTCAGGGTCATTGGGACGTGAACTGCTGGTGGGGGAGTTGCATAGTTTGGTTGAGGGTTACAACATTGGTTATAATAGTGATTTCAAATGATATGTAAGATTTTTTTTATTGTCTTCTTAATTTATTACTCAATATGTTTATAGTGATAGCAGTAGGCTATCCTCTGAATTTTTGTCATTTTCAGTTTTTTTTTTTTTTTTACTGAGGATAGTTGGCACTATATAACAGTTTGATGCTGCTAAGTCCGTGGATGCTTTATGGCCAATTACTACTTTATATTTTTCTATGTATCATTGCAGATAATTGCTAGTTGATGGTAACATGGCCATATATTGTTAATGACTAATATTTTGAATGATTCCCTTTAGCAAAATTCCAGCCTTTCTGAATGTGGTGGATATTGCTGGACTTGTGAAAGGAGCCCATGCTGGACAGGGACTAGGAAATGCCTTTTTGTCGCATATTAGTGCCTGTGATGGAATCTTTCATCTACTCCGTAAGCAATTTTAAGGTTTTAATTACTATATTGCATTTATTATTATTATTATTATTATTATTATTATTATTATTATTATTATTATACTACACAAAAACAACAGTGTACACAGCAAATGAGATAACTATGCTGGTTTTCGTATCACAAATCACTAGTCGAACACTTCCCAAGCATTTAGGACTGCGTGATGTATTGGTGGATTATGCGAGCAGATCCCAGTAAGGTGGGCCTTCTGCAGCTGACCAATGGTGATTTTGTCAGCGCCAATTCTTTTAAAGTGCTTGCCTAGGTCTTTAGGCACAGCACCCAGTATGCTGAGTACTACTGGAACCACCTGCACTAGTTTATGCCAGAGTCTCTGCAATTCGATTTTCAAGTCCTGATATCTGGTGATTTTTTCAAGTTGTTTCTCATTGATTCTGCTGTCATCAGGTATGGCAATGTTGACGATCCACACTTTTTTCTTCTCTACAATCGTGATATCCAGGGTATTGTGTTCAAAAACATCATCATCATTATTATTCACAAAAAACGACAGTGTACACAGCAAACGAGATAACTATGTTGGGTTTCGTATCACAAGTCACTAGTCGAACACTGCCCCTGCGTGATGTATCGGCGGATTATGCGAGCAGATCCCAGTAAGGTGGCCTTCTGCAGCTGACCAATGGATTAATAATAATAATTATTAATAATTATTATTAATTATTATCTATTACTAGATAAAACCCTTTGTAATTTTATTATATAATGCTTTAGTAGATTGCCAGTTTCCTGGAGGGGGGGAGATGAAAAATCTATACTACAATCAGCTGTAAATGTGTTCTAGCCCAAAATGTGGTCAGCCTGCAAGGGGGGAGGGGGGGGAATGTCAGAACTTCAAATCTGAGTATTTCAAATAGTCTATTTTTTGAGGTCTGCCATTACTTTGAACAGTAACTAAATGACGGGTCATAAATTGAGGACTACCTCCATTGCTTTTGTTAAAAAAAATCAAAATAGCTCGTGTTTTGGGTCCATGCAATATTAGCAAATGCGTAACAGTTCTTTATGATTGTGGTCCCCTAACTTATTTAAGTGTGTTGAAATAATTTTATTTTTTTTAAACTTGCAATACCTTACACATTGCATTTTCAGATTTAATAAGACTTGGATATGGTGGTTGCCACATCTCCCACTTTCCTCTTGGCAAGTTCTGCTCTCTTCCCATGTGGCCTTCTTGTGATCTCTCAAAAAAGAATCATCCCTGCTGATAGATATTGCTGGAAACTTGCAGGAGGGAAAGATATGTGACGATACTTGTGTCGCTACACTTCATTGCACTAGCATCTGAATGAACAAAGCCAGAGCCACCTCTCGTTCCCTCAGCGTGTGCAGTTTTCCTTTGTGCAGCTGTACTTAGGCTTTGACACCTTTATTGCATTTGAACTCACTCCAGAAATTTGGAGTTTAGATGTCAACATTTGCTTAGAGATGAATTTAAGATGTATCAGCATGTAAGAGTTTCTATAGTGTATGCTATAGAATCCAAGCTGGCATCTTATGGTCTTTCAGCAGGGTTCTTTCTTACCCTGGAATATGAAAAGGCCAGACACTTAACTTTTTCAAAAGATGGATGATGTGGAATAGCAGCTGAGGGTTAGCAGGATACAAATAACAGCAGAACCTGAATTTTAACAGGATTTGGGTACTGCCAAATATTTCATACCTCTCGCCCCAGGCTGAGGGATTACTTTCTTTGGGCATGGCATAAGTATTACTACCACCAAATACTGGATTTGAGGAAGAAAAGTGTGCCAAGGGGTTAATTTCAGCATATCCTGAGGTAATGGACCAATTTGTACTGGCATGTTTGTGAGACAAGGATCCAATTTGGAACTACTGCTTCTAAGACAGTTTTGTGGAAGGTAATGTCGTTATTTGAGATCAAGAAAAGGGGGATTGAGTCAAAGCTTTTTAAGGACCATTGAATTAGGATAGAGTATCCCAAATATTTTCAGTCAAAAAAAGCTGGATGTTTTACATGCAGGATACATAATAGCCAGTAATGTAAAAACTTTGTTTTCTTTCTTTGTAAAATGAAACAATAGAGCACTATCAAGTATTGTGCTTTCAAGTTTGTTTCCCTTTTCAATGAACTGTAAGAGGTTATAACCAGGTAGGTTTTAATATTGGAACATCTGTTTTAATATTGGAAAAACTCTATTATTCTGAGATAGACACAAGGCTAGCATAGCATATTTTCAAAGGGTTTAAATTACCAGAGCGTGAGCCATACGACAAGTGTGCTTGTTATATTTTCTCAGCTGTGAGAGTTGAGAGATTCTGAAATATCTTAGAAGAGGAACAAAAAAAACATTCCGGAGCAGGGAAGGCCACAACAATTGTGAGAATGATAAAAGAAATTATTTCCTTTCTCATTTGTCCTCCTATCTGAATTGTCATCTCTGCCACTCCACCACTGATTCAGGATTGGCATTGAGCCGTTCATTGAGATAGGAGTTGACTGTGGACTATTTGTTTCTCCTTTTTCATTTTGCCATTCTTCTTTCTGTTAGATACATAGTCAGTTGGAAGCCTACTATAGGACTATGATAGCAGATACTCTTAAATGCTGGAAAAACTACCAGTATTTTGACAGCAATTTTAAGGATGGAAAATAGCAATAGCACTTAGACTTATATACCACTTCATAGTGCTTTACAGCTCTCTCTAAGTGGTTTATAGAGTCAGCATATTGCCCCCAACAATTTTGGATCCTCATTTTACCCACCTTGGAAGGCGTAATTACAGGTGCATTTGGCTTACAGGTGCAATGCAAGCTATTGACTGTCACATTTAAACCCTTGTGTGGTTCAGGGCCTGGGTATCTTCTGCAGGACTGTCTTCTTGGTTTAACCTTTGCCTGCCCAATAAGATCTGTGTCATCTCAATAAGAGAATTCTCATCTTCAGGTGTAATCACGTCTTTTCTGTTGCTGCCCTCTCCTCTTCCTAGAGTAGCACTCATCCTGAAGCATGATTGGCCCCTGCCCTTCTGGCTTTTAGGAAAGTTGATGGTTCCATCAACTGGAGTGTCTGCATGTGTTTGTGTGTATGTGTTTGTGTTTTTGTGTGTGTGTGTGTAGAAGATTGGATAGTTGTAATTTCCTCGTTTGGGAAATTGGATTTCTTTTTATTATTATTAATGTTTTAATTGTGACTTCTGCTTTTAGAGGAATATTTCTAGTTGTTTTTACTGTATGATTTTAATCCCAATTATTTATTGGGGCATTTTTATTTTCTCACTCATTCTGTATATATGTGATTTATAGCAAATATGGAATGTTCCCAAGATTATCACAAGGTTATAAAAAGGGAAAGACAGTCCGAGCAATAAAGATCCAGCCCCTAAGGTTTTGTGTTTTTGGATTATAATATTATCAAATGCATGCATTTTGCAAGACTTTGATAACAAAAATTAATATTAACATTTGACAATGGGGAAACTAGAACTAGTAGTAATAGCATTAGCACCTAGACTTATTATATACCACTTCACAGTGCTTTACAGCCCTCTCTAAGTGGTTTACAGAGTCAGCATATTTCCCCCAACAGTCTGGGTCCTCATTTTGCTGACCTTGGAAGGATGAGTCAACCTTGAGCCTGGTGACATTCGAACCGCCAAATTGAAGGCAGCCGGCAGGTAGCAGAAATACCCTGCAGTACTGCATTCTAACCACCGCGCCACAACGGCTCTTTAATAGATGATTTGTACAGATATCTAAAGAAGTTTTTGTATAGATTATATTTCATAAAGTACTAATACACTGACAATTCTTAGCCTGAAATATCTATTCTGAGATTGAAGAAATCCCAAAGAAAGGTCTAGTACATTTGATGGAGCATTGTAATCAGCAGAATGAGTTGGAATAAATGAAAATCTTGCCCATGTAGGCACGCATACACAGGCGCTCTCACATATATGTATAAATACATAGACTGATATTTGTGATTAATGTAATGCATGTTTCAAAATTTCTTGAAATATCTGACAGATTCAATTAATCCTCCCCCCCCCCCCCCCCGGAAATGAAAATACAAATTGTATCCTAAAATAGTTGTTGTTATTATAACTGACAGTTCATGTCAAAAGAGAAATTGGCAGTTAGCAAAGATTCTTCCAAACTGAATTTATGGGATGATATTTCTAAAACAAATAAAAGTCTACACATTGTATTTTCCCACATTTTCTCAATAATAAGAATTTATTTTCTCTTGGGGCAGGGAAAGTAATCTTTACATTTGCTGGGAATAAAATATGATGTTGAAAATCTAAAGTCATGTATCTCTGCTTTCTGCATAGAATTTTTTTTTGCCAATATATGAGGAGCTGCTTGCTCAGTGAATTTTAACTATTTTTTTTTTTTGCAATGCCTGAATCAATGCTCCTCCCTCCATCCCTCTCTTAGATTGTAGTGTTTCTTAAAGTGTGGCCCTACGACTCCTTGGTTCCCCCCAAGACACACTCAGGGATCCCCAAAAACAAAATTATTTGCCAGTCCATGTTGAAAAATAATACAGTATTAAAATTCTATCAAACAATTGTCAGAAGTTAGCAGTTTTAATAGAGTAAATATAAATAAGTGTAACTCATACAAAAGGGACCTTAAAAGAACTTTTCTTTGCATGAGTTACATTTTTATGAGTATTTTAGGTAATTGTATGAGTTACATTTTTAAAACTGGAAAGGTGTCCTAAGAGGAAAACAATGTTTTAAGACCCTTTAACCTAGAAATATAGTGTTCCTCCCCCTTTTCTTTGAATGTTCCTTTCAAGTTAAGCTATTTCCCATTGCTACCCTATCTCAGATCTGGTTTTCTATCTGTTGGGGGTGTGTGTTGTGATTTGCTTGTGCATAGTATGTTTGTTAGTGGAAGAAAATGCAGAGATGCAATCAGTTAACTTTATAAATGGGATAGTTTTCAGTAGTTATTAATTCAGTTTATCTGGGGGAAGAGT